ATAAGCCCTAAGTCTTAGGCTTTTGGGCTGAAAGTGCGGGACGGGCCCTGCAGGGCCCGTGTGGCTACGCAGTATGCCACACACCCCCCTCCTTGAAAGCCCGAGCTTACCTGCGAGGGCGAAGCTGTCTGTCTGAGGGAGGGACCACAGTCCGGGTGGGAGGGGCAGGTTGTGGAGGTCCCTTAGCTAACCTTTGTCGCTCGTAGTGGGCGTAGATCAGCGGTGCGGATGCTTTCAAATCTGCTCCTGAAATCCACCGAGTGTCGTCGAGATCGCATGCTCTAAATGTAACTTTGTACTGGCGCGGCTTGCTGCCGTACTTGCGATTCGTGATGACGCGGTCAACTTCCTGATGACCATCCATAGAAGGAGGGTCCTGCAATCGTCGGCCCGGGAAGTCGTCGCTCTTAGTTGGTGTATATGTTGCCAGCTTCGAGGCGTGAAAGACTGGATGGACCGTCAGATGCTCGAAAATGTTGATCACAAATGAAGGGTCATTGGGCTCATCGCCCGCGGCTGCTGTCACAGACCAAGGTCCAAACCACTTGGGAAGCAGTTTGCGTGGAACATCCTGTTCCAGTGCAAACTCTTCTGCGGAGACCCAAACCAGATCACCGGCACGGATGGGACATGGCACGCGACGCCTGTTGGCTTGCTGCTGCATGCGGACTTGAGCCTTTTGCATGTTCGCGCGGGCTTGAGTCAGCAATTCCCTGTACTTCCGGACGGAAGCGGGAGAGCAAGCGGCGTCAATGTCAGCTGGTCGAGGGAGGAGAAGGTCGGCGAAGATACGGCCTTTCCGTCCACCATGGTGCAATTCGAATGGAGTCACGCTGATAGCCGGGTGCACCGAAGTGTTGTAGGCGAACTCGATGTCGGGGAGGCGGTCAACCCAATCTTTCTGGTCTGGACGGATGAGCGTACGAAGCATCATTTGCGCGGTTTGATGTGCCCGCTCCGTCTGCCCATCTGTCTGTGGATGCCGAGCCGAACTTGGCTTCATCTTCGTGCCGGACTCCTGCATGAGAGCAGTCCAAAATGCCGACATGAAGCGAGCGTCGAGGTCGCTGACTATGTCTTCTGGTACACCGTGGCCACAAATCCAACCGGTGTGCAGGAGGCGTGCCAGCTCGGGAGCCGTGGAGTAGTACTTGCAAGGAAGAAAACGCGCGTACTTACTCAATCGGTCCACAACCGTGAGGATGTCGTTGTGCCCGAGCCGGTCGCGAGGGAATGGACCGGTGACGTCCATGGCAATGGAGAGACCGGGTTCCCGTGGGATAGGCATCGGGCGTAGCTCGCCATAGGGGTTGCGGTTGCGGGGTTTGCTGTATCGACAAACTTCGCAAGAGTCGCAATACCGAGTGACATCGGTAATGAGGTCGGGCCATCGGAATCGTTGTCGAAGCCGTGCAATAGTGCGGTTGACTCCGAAATGGTCGGCGAGTCGCGAGTCATGGAACTCTCCGAGAAGGCGAGTCCGAAGACGACGGTCTCGTGGGACACACAAAAAGTCCTTGCCTCTCGAGTGGAGGAGCAAGTACCCGTCGGCAATGCGATAGTGGTTGGCCAGCCGGTGATTCGAAGATAGCTGTGCATATAGCGTGGCAAAGTCCGTATCAGACTCATATGCCCGGATGAAGTGTCATTGAAGCTCCTCGTCGAATGCGAAGGCATGATGTGTCATAGCGCAAAGATCAGGTCTTCGCGAGAGTGCATCTGCTGCGCGATTTGAGAGGCCGAGAAGATGTTTCGGTGTGAAGTCAAACTGGTCGATGAAGTACATCCATCGTCCGATTGTGCTGCTCACCGTATCCTGCGTCTTGTAGTAGGTGAATGGATTGTTGTCCGTAACCCATGTGAACCTACGACGCCCAAGGAGGAAGTGCCGCCATCGCTTGAGAGCCATGACGAATGCGAGCAGCTCCTTCTTCCTTGCATCATCAAGCGAGTTGATGGGAGACACTTTGTGGCTGAAATACTCCACAGGGTGCCAGTCGTCGCCGTCGTGCTGTTCCAAGACTGCCCCAATGCCATAGCCGGAAGTGTCCGTAGTCACTCTCGTCGGCAGGGTGGGGTCATAGATGCTAAGGACGGGTGCCATGAGCATGGTCGTCTTAAGTGCTTGGAATGACCGACACGCTTCGTCATCGAATACGAATGGCACCTTTGGCGACTGTAACCTCGTCGTAGGTACAGCAATCCTGGAATATCCGGTGATGAATCGCTGATAGTAGCCCGCCAATCCCATGAATGAACGAACGTCCGTGGTGTTGGTGGGCTCGGGCCATACTCATAGGGCCTCGATCTTGTCCGCAAGCGGACGGATGCCTTGCGGC